CACGGATGTGAGTGGTTAGAAATGACTGCCCAGGCCTAGGCATTCGGTGACATTTGATGAATCATAGGGGGGGGGCAATAACATAAGTGTTCCACCAACACCGTAGATATTTTACCCGGTAAACACGATGAATAATTTCATTTAGCTATTCAAACATTGTGTCAACATTTTTGTTGTTGTATACATTACCACAAATATGATACTTCCTCTTTCTAATGGACCTTACTGAATTTTGTTTTATAGTAATGTGCCTATACGGGATGGAAAATGGATTCACCATATTTGTCTGCTTGATAGCATTCTGTGTTCTTAGTCAATCNAACCGGCTAATAACCCACACCGACCAACAGAGAGACCTGTGGTTAGGGGAAGAGGTCTATTCGGGGTTATTTACGCCATCTGAGTCGCTTATAATTTTGAAATAACAGGATTATGCAAAGCGTAAACTCAGAGAAAAACGCCCGTTGGTTCGGAAATGGGTGCATTTTTGCTTCGGAATCATCTAGGTTTTTGAAGGTCATATATAGGTAGGTGAGTACAGTACGGTTCGACATCTTACTAGAGTAATCACACATCCTCCGACTGACTGCGTTCCCTTTGTAATCACTCTGGTACTAGAATTTATACATTGGTTTCCACTATCTTCTCGCACCGTCCGTATCACAGGGAACTATTACTAAGAGGAAAGGATAATTATTCCCGTTTCGTGTCATCCAACTCAAGTTGTTATACCCTAAATGTACTTTGCGGCCAGGGAATAAAAAATCTGAAGCATTCCGGGTGTCGGACTGCCTTTCCACACAAAACTCCAGTAAGAACGACTGCTCCCCCATTGGTCACTTCGAACACTCTCTCGCTGTTTAGCCAATTGGCTGACATAACTGATCTACCAACTTATCGCGTGCACATAAACACGTATAAGATATGCGTACAGGACACGCGGTTCACCCAAACATCGAGGATTCTCTGGTGTACTTGCCTAGTTTCGCAAGTTTTCACCAAAATAGAGAAAGAAGCGGCAAGTAGGCCGGAGGTGGACAAGTAAATTAGTAAATGGGAATAACTCCTGCAAGCACTTATGCTCACATTTCCGTTGCAAAAATGCGTTCACCGTTACAATGGGGATAAAACGAGAACAGTCATGTAAAGCATTGATAAAACGTAAACAAAGGATCATCTTTGTAGATTTAAAATTAGAATGTTTAGGACCTTCTTCTTGTCAGTTAGAACGTGAGTCCATTAGGGTAGTGTTGGATTGCGATAACTGTTTATGGAGGAAGATAAGCAGTGATAATTGGATCAGGTTTTAGTGTGGAAACGGCAAGCAGATACCTCGGGATTGAGCAGATGACTGGGGTCGTTAGGTATCTTAGGTGGGAAATTCTCACATGAACTAATATGAAAATCACACAATTTTGTGATTAGAGTATTTATGGGAATAAGAGAAACACGCCCAATAATTATCAAACCGCGACGAAGAGTAGTCAAATTCTTTTCATGTAGTCCGGGAAGAATAACGGGCGAATAATGAAGTATGGCAGGAAAAATGCACTGATAAACACAAGAATATATAGTTGAACTTAGTTATTTAAAGCTTTAATCCAGTGGTTGATACTTTCGTTTTGGCTTGCCCATCGCTGAAAAGTTGAACGCGTATTCTCCAGCCAGGTCATACAATACTGGGCAACTTATCTCTTCCGTCTGTGTTCAGTAAGCTCTTCACGTTGAACGTTTGATGGATTGTTTTAGATCTGATTAGTTTTCGGCTTGACATGAATAAAGAAAACATATTCACAAGCTGGATGAAAGCCCGACTGCAGTAAACTGATAGTTGGATATTGTGTCTTTCCAGTTAATAGCCAGTTAATTACTAGCATATATCGGAAACCTGTATCAAACTAATTCCAATTTTCAGTACTACTTTGAAGAGCGACAAAAGGTACTGTGGTTACCGGCACCATCTGAGTTTTACACATTTTGTTCTTTAGATGAGATGTCCGCATGGCCCAGATATGGTGGGCATTTAGAGTATATGGTCAGTGGGGTTAAATGTCATGTCTCAAGAACAATTAGGCGTGACCGAGGCACCAAAGTAATTGTCAACTGACCTTCAAAACCTGACCACAGTGAGCAACGACATTTACTTCTCTCATCATCATCCGAGTGTGTTACATATGAGCGTGGTGGTGATGCACGCTAATTACAAAAACTAAATAACTCAGAAAAACACTCCATTGTCTCCTGATGGAGTCGAGTCACGAACCCTCGCCATTCTTTTCTCACCAAACTGTTATTTTATTCTCATACAATATAAATGAGGTAGCAATGCCTTGAGAATGTAATAACCAAAAACACGTGGCCTCCTACAACTCATTTGCTGATAATCATTAGTGTGATAACGACGAGGGTTGATCTGCCCAGGAAGCAAATGATGATGAACCCGTCTTGTCCTTTCAGAGGCAAACACGAACACAAAGGCGTGATTCATATTTTGGTTACCTTCTGTATCATACGCAGCAGCAGGCTCCTCGACTGATCGGCTATTGATAGTTTGGCTCATAGCGTTTTGAAGCTCCGGATACTATCGTCGTGTCTGCCCACAGTTCTCGCTTTGACTTGGATTTTAACCTAGTATCGACTCCGTGTACGCGCGTGATTAGCTGACTCTTCCATTTGATTCGCCTACTTCCTTTATTCTGGTGTCAAGCCCCTTGCGATTGGTTAAAATCTGCAACCTCGTTTTCAGTTAGTTCTAGTTATGGACATTGATACTGGATCCCGTGGTCACACACCTCAAACTGCCCTTTATTCTACCGTCCACGTGACCGACCGTTCAAGCAACCAACATCGCGTCGTTTTGCGGTGCTGGAATTCAGTATGAGTTGTTCCGAAAATGATTTATCTGCCGTTCTTTGCACCAAACTTCACGATTACTCGCTGTCAGAATTGCCCTCTGCACTTCCGAATTTCCGATTGTTGACTGTACATTGCGTTTGTAGATTTAACGATTTCCGAAACTTTTTCTTCTCACGTGCCTGTTCATACACAGAATTAGTTGGTCAGCAAACTGTAATCAAGTTGTACGAGAAAATCCGTAAAATTAGAGAGAGAAAAAACAAAAGGCTGGCAGGGGTCGTCTTTGGGATTCTGTTGTCCTTAGCGCATCGAGATTGGTCGCATTATCGGACGTGATCATTGCGTGATAGAGGTTACTATCAGATTCATCATCTAAATCAGCATGAGGCCAGGGTGGCTAGAGTGCTTGGACTAGTTTTTTCTTGTGTACACCGTGGTGAGTTCAGCAGTTAGATTGCCACGGCTTCCGCTCTAGCAAATTGGCGTTGTTTTACGAGCGTCGAACTAATCGGATGTGCTCGTTATATGGCTTCGAGATTGACGTTGCCAAGCTGATGCCCTGTTTCTGTGAAGTGGGCTACGATTGCACTTCTTGTTGTTGTTATGCAATCAGTGCTAGGCCAAGCCGAATTATTTTGAGCAACTTGATTTAAATTAACCGAACAACCGACACTCCAACGTATCTTGCACGTAAACAGACATGTCAGATGCGTGAAGACAAAGGAAATAAAACAAGGTTGTTCGCACCGAATCGGTGTTCCGATAACCAAATGCGAATATTCCGCAAACGATTGGTCTATTCCTTAGAACCAATTTTCTTTGGTCATTTAATTGTGATGTCCCCTACCCAATACAGCTCAGTGTCCTCAGATCATCTGAGCGTAGATCCGACTCAGATCGTGTACACCCTTTAAACGGGATGCAGTTCTGTGTGAGACCACATGGATCCGAAACAACCAGTGCGAATGATAAGATAGCATAACACCAGTTTGGGGTGAATGATGTGGTAGTAAGCTAACAGATACTTTAAAGAAAATAACAGTTAAAGGTTGAGGATTTGTGTGTCCTGTCAAAGCGAGTTGTGTGATTGGTGGCATTCACCACTCGAGTGAACTAAACCCCACGGGTGATCGGAGTGGCATCCATGCGTGACTCAAAGCAGATATAATCGAGTACTGCAAACACCAACGGGCATGGAAAACTTATTTCTCTTTCACAGAAAAACATGACGATGAATAATCTGCTGTAAGATATTCGTTCATTCACCAAGCTCTCTGGCATTTATTGTGTCAATCGTTGGGCGTAACCATTTCACAGTTAACTCACAGTTACTCGTGAGCGTGCACACACACACACACACACACACACACACACACACACACACACACACACACCTTCTCAACACTCACCGATAGCTCCTAGTTTACTAAAGCTTTCGTTCTATTCCACACGTTAGGACACAGATGAGTATGGGATAAAGTGATGCAGACTCGTGCGTTATCGTCATCTTTGTTTAGTGATNACACACACACACACACACACACACACACACACACACACACACACACACAAGCATGGAAACAAAATACACATTGTGGCAATGAGGCACAGATGTCATTAGGTGGTACAGTGATGACATGTGTACACCCGATTACGACAGTACGTTCGTGCATAACTAACTCATCTGAAAAACCGACTTGGTGTGCAATTGTTCATTTTCCTATTGAAATGAACCGTTATCTATTCTAGAAAACAGTTAAATCCACCAGGAAAATAAAAACGATTAAATGCAAAACCCGAGACGCCCGGTCATTCGGGTGTCAACCCATGCTTTCCTTAAGATACCTATGCTTCTAAGTATTAGGTACTCTGTACCTATTAGCAATGCGTTAGAGTGACATGGCGGTTTGCGACAAAAAATTCCTTGGACCTTGGACCGTATCTTTTCAACACATTGGATTAAACTGTTGTAAAGTGTCAGAATCGATTTAATTAATAACTGACAACAACGTTAGTCGCTTACTTACAGTAAAACCTGACAGTACAACTTATTCGACCCAGGCAACAAAATGTAAAACGAACAAACAGGAAGATGCTGTTGCCTTACCGCGAGTAATTAGAAAGCGTCTTGCATCCTCATAGCCCTGGTAGGCCAAACTGGCAGATTCATCTGGACCCATGGGCCAAACTGTATACATGAGTCGACGAATATTGGTCCCGCTCAACCGGATGTTGTTGTTCAAAAAGCTAATCGATCCAATCACATCCTCCACGTGTTGAGGTGCTGGAGTTAAGTAACCGGAATCCCACGGAGCATCCAGTGGACAAATATCCGCATCTCCCGCGAACGGGCTAACGCGGATGGTCATTTTGTCGATGCAAAGCAAATTGTCCGACAGGCCACCATCTAAAACCGGCTATGTACAGACGTATTGAAGAGTAAGAAAGAGTGAAGGAGTAGACTAGGATACAAAAGCCACATCATCCAACTCAAAAAAATATATAACAGAGAACACAACAGTGTGCAATTCTCAAGACTCCATCATTCACGCTGCAAAGAGATGTGGCTATCCGAAGATCAGTATGGCTCTTATTTACATTGATGTACACAGCACACAGATAATCAATAATGAATGTACTAAATTCACTTTTTGTAAACTTATTACTGCGAAAGCTGCCAGGTTCCAGCGACTATCAACAATGAAGCGGGACAGGGAAAAAGATTGGATAAATTATTTCTAAAGACATTGGGTTTTCTCAATTAACTCACGATCAACTAAGATGCGATACACGCGGTTTAAAAACAGTTTGTTTGAAAGAAAGCGATGCAGACTGGTGTCAAGATGACCGAGAGCTGTCACTGGAAGCACGCTTCAAAAAGGGGCGTTGCGCGCATTTGACAGAGTGCTAGAACACAGTGAGTTAGTTTGATTGATGTTCAAGTAGGTGTGATATCTCCGTTGGCTGTTAGTTTAATCCGAATGGCAGTTTCAGTTTGCAAAACCATGTGGTGGCTTTTCCTGCTGCCTTTTGGCTGCCCATTTAGGTGAAGGAGTAGGAGAAAGATAGGAAAGTTTGAGGCAGAATCGAACGGAAAATAGAGAATTTTAGTAGATCGAGGTTGCAAAGAAATTGAAACGATGCAAGACGCTCAATCGTATCACTCAGCGTATAAAAACCATGATCCCCTAACGCAATTTATCTGATCTAGTCTCTTGGTTAGGGTTTTCATAAGCCCCGTAGAAGTCTATTTCACCCGCTACCTGCCTAGGAAAACGTTACGCGCCGTGGCAATCTATTTGGCGACATGCTCCAATCAACGTAATCTATGGAGTTTGACCACTTGCTTCAGCGAGCAACCACGGTGACCTAAAAGTCTGCGCCTTAACTCAGCATTGCTCGTCCGGTTTCCCCTCCAGCGTTGTTTGAACACCGACAATCTATCCTTATCCTGTTTCCTAAGTGGTCAAGTTGCTGCGCTGTGTGGCATAACTGGCCGAACTGCTGCAGCATACACTCCACCTTTCACAGACAGCCGGATGACACGGCGGGAAACAGAATCCAGAACCAAACCTATACTGAAGTTAAATAGACAAGGAAAGAGGAGAGAGCAAACCAGACGAACACCGCTTTCTGTGTTGAACTCGGGCGAAGAGGAGTGAGAAGAACAACTAGAGAGAGAAAGAATGTACTTCGAGACTGGATTCAAATAGATGAACAGCATTTAGGTATGTTGTGACGAAAGCCGTTCTTCCATTAGATTAAGGTTCTGTCTGACTATATGCTGACTATTCTGGGCCTTACTTCATCTATAGTGTGATCAAGATCATTGTGGTCTTCAAATTTGACAGGGGGCGTGATTCTTCTTCAAATGAAGTCGACAATACCATTCTATTGCTATGACTTACCTGATAATCAATAGACTGCTGACACAGTGCTGTCAGTTCAATCGCTGTGCCCGTCAGAAATAGACAATTCAAATGCAATTTGCACAATCTTGGTTTTAGCGTCATGTGCTTCGTGCACAAAGATGATGTTTAATTCTGATTCCAGCTGGGGATAAAGTTCTGTGGAATTCAGTTTTTTATTAGAATAGAGGATGTGTGCACTGAAAAGCTGTGGTGCACTACGGTACAGCCGGCCAGATTACCATTGGTCTCAGTCCGTTGGCGCCAGCGTCTATTTCACTTTGTAATATATTGGACTATCCAAACAGCCCTGTCTTCGTACGAGGATAGTAGCATCGAGTTGCGCCAGGGGTGATAAACTGTCTGATATGGAGTATGCATGTGACATTGTACTGCTAAGTGAAGCTGCTATCTTTTTCGTATAGATTGAGTGCTAATTTAGCCAAGTTCGACATGAGTTTCGCACCTTCAAAGTGCAAAGTGCAAGACTGGCTTGGCCCAAACACTAACCTCATTCTAAATGGGGGAGTAATAGAGCAAACGGATAAATTTTGTTATCTGGGTAGATACATCTCATCTAGTGGACAAATTACGGACAAAGTGTTGGCACGCATTCACAAGGTAAAGAGTGATATGGCTGACTGTCGCGAACAGTGGTATTTGTGCGTCTACTAAATAGCATTGCGACCTCAGTGTTCATGAATTCCCTATTCTCATGACACTGGATTGGACATTCCAATCATCCATTTTCCGCTTCATCCAAATAGGTAGTCATAAGACACCAACCAAAACCGGTGCTTAATGGTGGCAAAAACCGAAATAAAATCGTAATGCATAGGATAGTCGATTCCTTCCAAGCTGTGCTTCATTCAGAGTATTCATTTGTATAGAGGATATGTGAATGAGGAATTCGGTGAACGCTTGGAGTGAAAATTAACCCCCCGGGATGTGTTTCACATTGCTTGAACAGAGAGTCACTGAAATACGGTCAAATCCGTGGATATTCACGTTAACCGGACCACCGGAGATACTCCAAAAATATATACCGAATAGCCAGCGAAGTTGGCAATACAACACCAGGACAGAAATTGCAATGTAAATTTTCCTGTCGCATTCTTGCGTTCCCCTGGATCGATAAGTGTACAGAAAAGAGCGCTTCAATGCACATGCATACAGGGACGTAAGAAGTCGTACACAACTGGTTTACGGTATGCAAGCGATTGACAGTGAATGATGCTCTGAGATCCTCAATGAGAAAGGGTGAACCAAATGGTTCCACATGGTGGATAAAGTAAGATGGATACATTTCATTCAGTGCTTTATTTGGCGTGTTTGCTTTGTCGTCGAATCACGATTTCGCAATCATCTTTTATGGTTACCGATAAGTTTAGCTGATGTTTTCAAAAATTGACCCATGTATATCGTATAGCAACAGGGACGATTACGAACAGTGTGCATGAATGAGAAGGGGACAACCCCGAAGAGGTGTACCTAGCGATTTACTGCGTCCTCGATGTGAATTGAAATACGAAACAGGTCAGTCGGCTGGGAATAAGCTTCGACCCGATCCATTTGTAATGAAATCGGTCACTGAGTGCGTTAGAGTAGATAGAATCGTGTAACGACCGTATACTACGCCATCAAAAACTGGTACCAACGGGTAAATGTTAACGCCTTTTGTTGATCATAAATTGACGCTTTTTTACAAGGAGTCAAGCTGTATTATATCTAATATGCATGGATGTAGTACACGGCGCCCGGACGATACTCAAATACGTGATTCATAACGATAACACTACCAAATTGTTTCGTATGATCACGATATAGTGTACAGTGGCGGATCCACCCGAAAGAACGTAAAAGACAACCAAAGACATTTTCCTTTCGCCTTGACTCACCTGCCCGCGAAAAGTGAGTGGCACGAAACCGCTGAAAATGGGAATATAGGCGGAACAAAGGATAGCCTGTGAGTACAAGCTCTGAGAGACAATTCATATCACTTACATTAATCAGTTCATCCTTATCACGAAACTGATTTACAATCACATTTTTGCGTGTTGCGTAAGATGTCAACGAGATCGATAGGCGACCGGAACAGATCACGTGGGCATCGGATGGTAAGATCCGATTCAAGCCCTCACGTAGATGCTCGGTTATACGAAAGCGTGGATCGAATGGGCCCAGGAGATAGCGTCGTGCGTTGTTGATGAGTTCACACATGTACTGGACACATTCCGCTGTGATTAAGTTTTGAGGTTAAATAGAAACAGACTGGATGGATGCGTGCACATGACTTACTTACCAATATTGACATCACAAACCAGACATACGGCAGCAATAGCTCCAGCACTAGTGCCGGACAAACGTTTGTTCTGGTACAGATGTGGAGCCAGTTTTTTCATGCAACAGCATACGCCCACGTGGTAGAGGCCGAGGAATCCGCAACCGGCAAACGATAAGTTATGTTTCAAATTGGCACCATCTCGATAGTATCGATCGTCATAGAATTTTATCTGTTCAAACTGCTCAGCCATCACGGCGAGTGTGACAAGGAAATGTGAGGTCGTTGCACTGTGAAATGTGGCTGAGCAAGTGATAGTGGGACAGACAGAAAAGATTCCTAAAAGTGAAATTCGATAGCTGACTAATCTGGATGCAGCATTCTGAGATCAACGATTCGTTCTCTGCTTGAGTGAACGATCATAAGCGAAAGTCAATTCGAACAAACAAAATGGCACAGATGAAACGAAATAGATGCAATAGTAAAAACAGAATCCTACACCATTGGGTACCCTTAATCAGAGAGAGCAGAAATTGTCATGATGCAGTTGTTCTATTCGGTAGACAGCTGGTTGAATTGGCAAAATTAGTTGGTTTCAGTTACCCCGAACCAAAAACGAAAACACAACTTATCTGTGGCAACGTTTGGAGCCCCTTAGAAGGCTTTTCTCAAATCATTTAATGGGTTCATGTGAAACAAAAAATAATTATATGGCAATCAGAGGACTGCGAGGGTGTTTTTAACCGAATACCAGACATGTGGTCACATTTAGGATCCACTGAAGTTAAAATTATGAGTTGATCACTTGACTTGCGGAGACAAACTGGTCGCATCCATTAGGATGAGAGCAAAACTCCAATCTCTTTCAATGAGATCCGCTATACTAATGTGCTTAGAATTTATTCGCAACGGTAGTAGAATGGTTAACTTCACTAATTTATCACCTCCAACGTCATGGGTTCGAACCCTGCATAATACCCCTGCCCCATTGTACTTGTGTAACACAGAAACCCTTTGAAACTCTTACTGAAAAATTATCCGTACAGCAATGGATTCCAAACATAGGAAGTATATCAACAGATTAACTGGTTGGCAGACTTTGAGCACTTTCCATTTCAAGACTCAGCTATTTTCAGCCAAAAAGTGACCTGATATGTGTGTATTATCCGAGAATAAGGTAATGTGATTTACAACTGGTATTAGATAAAGGTACCAGTTCCAAACCAACACGAAAT